CGATATTCATTTCAAGCCCACCGATTCCCACAGCTACCTAGAATACTCCTCCTCCCACCCACCTTCCCGCAAAAATGCTATCCCCTATTCCCAATTCCTTCACCTCCGCCGCATCTGCTCCCAGGATGAGGCATTCCACTCCCGTACATCTCAGTTGTTCTCGTTTTTCAAGGACCGTAACTTCCACTGACACTCTCTCCGTGACTCCCTTGTCCACTCCACACTCCCCTCCAGCCCCACCACACCCGGCACTTTTCCCTGCAACCGCAGGAAGTGCTACACCTGCCCCCATACCTCCTCCCTCACCCCCATCCCAGGCCCCAAGAAGACTTTCCACATCAAGCAGATGTTCACCTGCACATCTGCCAATGTGGTATACTGCATCCGTTGTACCTGGTGTGGCTTCCTCTACATCGGGGAAACCAAGCGGAGGCTCGGGGACCGCTTTACAGAACACCTACGCTCGGTTCGCAATAAACAACTGCACCTCCCAGTCGCGAACCATTTCAACTCTCCCTCCCATTCCTCAGACGACATGTCCATCCTGGGCCTCCTGCAGTGCCACAACGATGCCACCCGAAGGTTGCAGGAACAGCAACTCATATTCAGCTTGGGAACCCTGCAGCCCAATGGTATCAATGTGGATTTCACAAGCTTCAAAATCTCCCCTCCCACTACGGCATCCCAAAACCAGTCCAGCTCGTCCCCGCCTCCCTAACCTGTTCTTCCTCCCACCTATCCCCTCCTCCCACCTCAAGCCGCACCCCCATCTCCTACCGACTAACCCCATCCCGCCCCCTTGACCTGTCCGTCCTCCATGGACTGACCTATCCCCTCCCTAACTCCCCACCTACACTCACCTTTACGGGTTCCATCCCCGCCTCTTCGACCTGTCTGTCTCCTCTCCTCTATCCATCTTCTATCTGCCTCCCACTCTCTCCCTATTTATTTCAGAACCCCCTTCCCCTCCCCCTTTTCTGATGAAGGGTCTAGGCCCGAAACGTCAGCCTTTCTGCTCCTGTGACGCTGCTTGGCCTGTTGTGTTCATCCAGCCCTGCACCTTGTAATCTCACAGCATTGTAAGCAGCTTCTGTTGTCAATACACTTTAGCATATTTGACTCAACAAAAACCCAGCCTCCATGTTACATGTTACATAGGCTAACATATCAAAAAGTACAAAACTATAAACCATGGAATGAGTGAGGGAGATGCTAAGAGTAAGAGAGTGGTGTTGTTGGGGGAAGTAAGAGACGTTCCGGTATGAACAAAGGATGAGCTGGTTTAAAATGGTCAAAACTTACCTTGTGGAGTCACAGTCTCTCAGCTGGCTGATTCGCTGACCCATAGTCATATACCCTCCATGGAAACACTGGACAAAAGTGTCTCCTCAGAGGGAAAACAGTCAAGAGACGATCCTTTAAATATGGCACAGTTGGCCAGTCACCACATGACATGCACTTACTCTTCTAGTCCTGAAAAGATTTTATAGCATTATCTAGATTGATTAGGACTGCTGTTTGAAAGAATATGATCTATATTAACTAACATTGGTCTGGAATTCAGAATCAAACGTCTCACACCTTTGTGTTGGCAGGGCAAAATGAAATATAGAAAATATAGGAAATACACAGAATGGCCATTAGCAATCTGAAAAGAAAGAGAAAAAAAAATGCATTGAGCCTGTGCTGAAAGGTTAATCTTTTATACAAGACTGCATCTCAACAAATAAAAGCAAAGCACTATGAATGCCAGAGATCTGAAATAAAAACATGAAAAAACTCAGCAGGCCTGGCAGCATCAGTGGAGAGAGAAAAGGAGATAACCTTTCACATTCAACAATATTTTTCTGCGGAACTAGGCTCAAAAGGTTTTTCTTCATTCATTCATGGGATATAGGGGTAGCTGAGACAGGCTAGCGTGTGTTGCCCCTTCCTAATTGCCCCGAGGGCAGTTAAGATCCAACCACATTACAGTACATTTGGAATCACACGTAGGTCAGACCAGAGAAAATTGGCAGATTTCCTTCGGTCAAGAACATTGGTTAACCAGATGTGTTTTCCATGACAAATGACACTGGTTATACAGTTGCCATTAGACTAGATTTTTTAATTCCAGACTTTTCAAAATGAAACAAATTTCACCATCTGCCTTGGTGGGACTCAAATCCATGAACATTTGCTTGGGATTCTGGACTTACCTGTACGGTGACATTACCATCACTTTGCCACCTCTTTTTCTCTCTTTAGATACTGCCAGACTTAGTGAATTTCTGCAACACTTGCCATTTTCTATCTCAAACAGTGTCGTTTTTTTCTATTCCAAAGAAGAATCATACTGAACACGAAACATTAACTCTGTTTTTTCTCTCCACGGATGCTGCCGTATCTGTTGAGTTTCACCAGCATTCTTTTTTTTAACATTAAAATCCCGAAAGAACTGTGGTTGCTGTAAATCAGAAACAAAAACAGAAATTGCTGGAAAAACTGAGCAATTTTGAGGAAGGGTCACTCGACCCAAAACATCAACTCTGGTTTCTCTCCACAGATGCTGCCAGACCTGCTGAGCTTTTCCAGCAACTTCTGTTTTTGTTTCTTTCTTTCTGTTGTTTATTTTTCTTTCTAGCAGGCAGCCTATTTGTGGATGCTGTTCAACTTTTCCTCTTGTGACTGTCAGTTTCCCAAAAGTGGGAGCTTCCTCCTGTGTTTGGTTTTTGTTTTGTGAGTTGGACTGTGAGACAGTGAAGAGTGCGGTTTGGAAAGGGAGAGGAACCCTTTCGTGGGCGGAACCTTGAAACTGGAGCAGCCAAACTGGGTTGGGGGGGGGGGAATACTGGAGAGGGACGGACGCGGAAGCGGCTTGGATGAGGTGGGGGAACGGTTGAGACGGACGGAACTTCCGGCGGACGCGCAGACGGTAAAAAAAAATCCCGGGAACGAGATAAAATAATAATATTTGATGAAGATCTAAGTAACGAGAAGGTCAGAACGGTGGGGGGGGAGGGAGAGTGGGCTGAGTTAGTTTGGGAATACCGGCACCGCCGCTCTTTGGGGGTCAGTTTAATATTTAAAACCGGGACTTTCAAACAACCAGAAAAAAAAGCCCCAACTGACGGGAGTTTATGGACCCATTCCCCGTTTTGTTTCCTTTAGTTTCCCCTCCTGCAGGTTTACTTCACTTTCATTTTCTCTCCCCCCACCCTCTTTTTATATAGAGGTGCGTTCCTTTATATTAAACAGTAAACTTTTATTTTCCTTCCCCCCCCACCACCAAACTTTGCTCGAAAATAAATCGAGTGTGGGACTGGTTTCCTCCCGTGTCCCTCGTATTAAAGGGTACACCTCCCTTTGTTAGTTTTTTTTTTTTTAAAAAAAAAAATCAATTGGAAAATCCAGTCAGATTTTGAGAAGTTGGGTGAGTGGTTTTGCACCCGCCCCACCCTCACTTCAGCCTTTTTTTTTTCTTCTTCTTTAACCCCACCCCCCCACACCTTTATGCCTCCTCTCTTTTGCTTCACTCTCTCGACCTTTACGTTGTGGAATTTTGTAGTCTGTAAGGCCAAGATGTGTCAGGGCCTCCGAGAATGTATTATAGCAGAGATGTATAACAGACTGAGTGTGAATAAATAACATCTTAAGTTGTATCACTGGTGGTTTGGGATATCAACTGAAGAACTAACAGTAAACTTGAGCAAAAACAAAGTTTAAATTTCATTTACGTTGTGAAATTCTGTAAAGGTGTTCATTATCAATGACGTATGATTTGGGAGAGTGAGGCGGTCGATCAGTCTAAATGTGTGCAATCTGGGTGTTTGGATCGTTTCCCCTAGCTTATGCTGAGATTCAGTTTTGTGCATCAAATCTGGGGCATAGATTTATAACCAGAACAGGGGAGAAAGTTGCTGCGTTCTGGGGAAAGAGTTTGTGTTGTAAAGAGCTGGCACAGACTCGACGAGTGTCACTAAAAGAGCAAAGGTCTTCTGAATTTCCCACCTGCATTGCTGTGTCTGCTGTAGTTAACAACAAAGAAATGTCAAAAGTGAAATAGAATCAGAAAGTTCTGGAAACCCATATTCAAATCAGCATCTGTAAGGCCAAGGTGTGTAAAGGCACCCAAGAACATTTAATTTCTGAAATGTGTTGTAGGCTGAGTGTAAGTAAATAACATTCTAAGTTTTGTAACTAGTAGTTTAGGATATCAAATAAAGAAATATTTTGAACAACAAAATAATTTAAACTACAGTTATAAAATCATCTGCAGTTCTTAGCTCTCCATCTGTTTTTATTCATTCTTGGGATGTAGGCATTGCTGGCTGACCAGCATTTACTACGTAGAAACATAGAAGGTAGGAGCGGAAGGAGACCATTCGGCCCTGTTCCGCCATTCTTCACGATCATGGCTGATCGTCCAACTCAATAGCCTAATCCTGGTTTCTCCCCATAACCTTTGATCCCCAAGTGCTATATCTAGTTGCCTCTTGAATACATTCACTGTTTTGGCATCCACTGCTTCCTGTGGTAATGAATTCCACAGGCTCATCACCCTTTGGGTGAAGAAATGTCTCCTCATCTCCGTCCTAAATCGTCTACCCCGAATCCTCCTACTGTGACCCCTGGTTCTCAACACACCCACCGTCGGGAACATCCTCCCTGCATCTACCCTGTCCAGTCCTGTTAGAATTTTATAAGTCTCTCTGAGATATCCCTCTCGTTCATCTGAACTCCAGGAAAAACAATCCCAACATAGTCAACCTCTCCTCGTACGTCAGACCCACCACCCCCGGAATCAGCCCGGTAAACCTTTGTTGCACTCCCTCGACAGCAAGAGCATTCTTCTTCAGACAAGGAGACCAAAACTGCACACAATGTTCCAGGTGCGGTCTAATCAAGACCCTGTACAACTGCAGCAACACATCCCTGCTCCTGGACTCGAAACTTCTCGCAATGAAGGCCAACATATGATTTGCCTTTACCGCCTGCTGGGCCTGCAAGCTTACCTCCTGACCCTAGATGTGCTTAAAGGTGGTGGTGAGCTGTTGCCTTAAACCGCTGCAGTCCACCTTCTGTGGGTTGGCCCACAATGCTATTCAGGAGGGAATTCCAGGATATTGACCCATGATATTGAAGGAACAGTAATATATTTCTAAATCTGCACAGTGTAATCCTTTTTATTTGATTTATTATTGTCACATATACCTAGGTATAGTGAAAAGTTTTGCTTTGTGTGAATACGGGCTGATCATACCATACAAAGTGCATTAGAGTAATAGAACAGAGCAAAGAATACAATGTTAAGCCTGCAGAGAAGCTGCACAAAGAGCAAAATCAACAATAAGTTTAAAATTTGAGAGGTCCATTCAGAAGTCACATAACAGCAGGGAAGAAGCTTTTCTTGAATCTAATGATACATGTCTTTAACCTTTTGTATTTTCTGCCCAACAAGAGGTTGGAAGAGATTATAACCGGACTGGGAGGTGTCTTTGATTATGCTAGCTGCTTCTCGAGGCAGCGAGAAGGTTAGGTGGAGTCAGCGAATGGAGTTGGCTTGCATGATAGACTGGGCTGTGTTCACAATTCTTTGTTGTTTCTTACAGTCCTAGGCAGAGCAGTTGCCATACCAAACCATGATGCATCCGGATAGAATGCTTTCTATGGTGCATCTATAAAATTTGGTTAGAGTCTTTACAGACATGCTGAATTTCCTTAGTCTCCTGAGGAAGTAGAGGTGTTGTGCTTTTTTGACCATAGCATCAACGTGGGTGGACTAGGACAGATTGTTAGTGATCATCACTCCTTGAACCTAGACGCTCCCGACCATCTCCACCTCAGCACCATTGATGTAGACAGGGTGTGCCCTCCACCTTGCTTCCTGAAGTCAATGACCAGCTCTTTTGTTTTCCTACTGCACAGAAACTGACCCTTGATGGGCTGAAAAATGGCAGATGGAGTTCAGCCTGGGTACATGCAAGGTATTGCGTTTTGGTACAACAAACAAGGGTAGGACTTATACAATTAATGGTAGGGCCTTGGGTAGTGTTGTAGAACAGAGGGACCTAGGAGTGCAGACACATAATTCTTTGAAGTTTGTGTCACATATAGATAGGGTGTTTGGCTTTCATTGCTGAGTCCTTTGAGTAAAGGAGTTGGGAAGTCATGTTGAGGTTGTGCAGGACATTAGTCAGGCCTCTTCTGGAATATTGTGTCTGGGTATGGTCGCCCAGTTATAGGAAGGATATTATCAAGCTGAAGAGGGTTCAGTAGAGATTTACTAGAATGTTTGGAATGTTTGAGTTCTAAAGAAAGGCTGGATAGGCTGGGACTTTTTTAACTGGAGTGTAGGAGATAGAGCTGTGACCTGATAAAAGTTTATAAAATAACGAGAAGTATAGATAGAGTTAGTGGTAGTTGTCTTTTCCCTAGAACGGGGGATTTCAAAACTAGGGGGTACATATTTAAGGTGAGAGAGAGATTTTAAAAATGACATGAGGCAGATTTTTTTCATAGAACGTGGTTTGCGTGTGGATGAACTTCCTGAGAAAGTGGTGGATGCTGGTGTAGTTACAGCATTCAAAAGACATTTGGATAGATACGTGAGTAGGAAAGGTTTGGAGGGATATGGGCCAGGAGCATACAGGTGGGGCTAGTTTAGTTTGGGATTATGCCTGGGGGAGAGATTGTTATCTACACACCATGCCACCAAGCACTCTATTTTTTCCTGTACTCTGTCTCACCATTGTTTGATCTCTGGTCTACAACGGTGGCATTGTCAGTGAACTTGTGGATGGAGTTAGGCCGAAATTGGTATTACAGTCATGAGTGTACAGGGAGTACAGTAGAGGGGTGAGTATGTAATCTTGTGGGGTGATGGTGTTTAAAATTATTGTGGAGGAGATGTTGCCTGTTCGTGTTGATGGTGGTCTGTCGGTCAGAAAGTCGATGGAGCAGAGACTTGGGTCTTGGAGTTTGGAGATTACTTTAGTGGAATTATGGTCTTGAAAACTGAGCTGTAGTTAATAAATAGAAGTCTGGCGTAGGTATTCTTGTTATCCGGATGAGTGTAGGATCATGGAGATGACGTCTGCCGTGGACCTGTCCCGATGGTAGGTGAATTGCAAGTGATCAAAACAGGCTGGGAGGCTAGAGCTGATGTGAGCCATGACTAACCTCTCAGCACTTGATAGTTATGGAGGTTGGAGCCACTGGGTGGTAGACATTGGGGCATGCTGTCTGACTTTTCTTTGGCATTGGGATGATGGTAGTTTTCTTGAAACTGGTAGGGGCTTTGAGGGGAACTTGCAGTTGGTGGCATTCGCATGCAGCTGCTGCCCTTGTTGTTTTAAATAGAAGTGGTTGTTGGTTTGGAAGGTGCTGTCTGAGGATCTTTGGTGAATTTCTGCAGTGCATCTTGTAGATAGTAGACACTGCTGCTAATGAGCATCAGGGGTGGAGGGAGTGGATATTTGTGGATGTGGTGCCAATCAAGCGGGTTGCCTTGTCCACTCAAGCTTCTTGAGTGTTGTTGGAGTTGCACCCATCAGGCAAGTGGGAAGTATTCCATCACAGTCCTGACTTTTGCCTTAGAAACGATAGGTAGGCTTTGGGGAGTCAGGACGTGAGTTACTTGCTGTAGTGTTCCTAGTCTCTGAGTTGCTCTTGTAGCCACTGTTCATGTGGTGAGCCCAGTTGAATTTGTGATTAGTGGTAACCTGCAGGATGTTGATGGTGGGGGATTTAGTGATGGTAAATTATTGAATATCAAGAGGTGGTAGTTAGATTGCCTCTTATTGGACTTAGTCATTGCCTGACATTTGTGTGGCGCGAATGTTACTTGCCACTTGACAGCCCAATTTTGTTGCTTTTGAACAAGGACTGCTTCAGTTTCTGAGGCGTTGTGAACAGTGCGGAACATTGTGCAATCATCAGTGAAAATCCCTACTTCCGACCTTATGATAGAGAGAAGGTCATTTATGAAGCAGTTGAAGATGATTGAGTTATAGAATCCCCACAGTGTGGGAAGAGGCCATTTGGCTCATTAAGTCCACACCGACCCTCCGAAGAGCATCCCACCCAGACCCCAACCCTATCCCCGTGACCCCACATTTACCATGGCTAATCCACCTGTCCTGCACATGACTCGGCACTATGGGACAATTTAGCATGGCAAATCCACCTAACCTGCATATCTTCGGACTGTGGTAGGAACCTGGAGCACGTGGTGGAAATCCATGCAGAGAAGGGGAGAACAAATTCCACATAAGACGGTGACCCAAGGTTGGAATGAAACCTGGGTCCCTGGTACTGTGAGACAGCAGTGCTAACCACTGAGCCACCAGGTCTTAGATTATAAAAGCCAAACAGTATTGATTTAGAAAAATAAATTACAGGTATGGAAAGGAATTTGAAATACTGCGAGTGTTTCCACTGAAATAAAGAAAGCTGAGACTCGGTTTTATAAATCTAGTATGAAACATCTTATTTATGCTGTAGGTCAGTAGGTCTGAGTGGAAGCTCTGTGTTGTGTTGTTGGAGCATGAACCACATTACCACAAGGATTGGTTGAAGCAGATCACCTTGCATACCCTCAAAGGAAAAATGGTGAAATACCTGGAGCAGAAAATGATGTTTGACTTAAAGGAGAGAGGCAAGAAGTGAGGTTAATTTGAAATTGATCCTGCTCAAAACTAGTACTAATACATTGAGCCAAATGGGCATCCTGCAGTTCTGTAGACTAGGATGGTTCAATGTAATCTTCCAGCTGAGCAGTGTAACAGCATTTGTGCTTGTTTGGACTTAACTCTCAACACAAGTAAAATAAAAGAGAAAAATTTTAAAAAATGAGAAAAGACAGAAAAAAACGTAATAAGAAGCTAAAAGCAGATAGAGCTGCTGAGCCCCGGGCTCAGAAGCCCCACTCCACTGCCATCTCACTGGAAATTTTTAAGACAGACATATATTTAAGGTGAGAAGAGAGAGTTTTAAGGAGGACATGAGGGGCATTTTCTTTGCATAGAGAGTGGTTCATGTGTGGAATGAATTTCCAGAGGAAGTGGTGGATGTGGTTACAGTTACAACACGTAGAAGACGTTTGGATAAGTACGTGAATAGGAAATGTTTGGAGGGTTATGGGCCAAGTGTAGGCAGGTGGGACTAGTTTAATTTTGGATTATGGTCATCATGGACTTATTGGACTAAAGGGTCTGTTTCTGTGCTGTACGACTCCATGACTATGACATTGGTTACCGATACATTCAATCAAATTCTCATTCACAAGGAAAATTCAGTGAGGTCAGTTGTTGCAGTGTGGTTGAGTGGTGCTGCTAATAAAATCAAAATGCCTGAGCTTTTCTCTCCTGGGGTAACCAGTGGCCATTCTTCACATCTGCTGTGGAGTATGTTAGCTCATTTTTCAACTGTGGGAAGCCTAGCAGATGGATGTCTTCCCACAATCTACAGCCTTGAGATTCACAGCAGAGCAGATGTCCACTGATCATATTTCCTTTTTGCCTTCCTCCCTACTCATCCCCTTTTAGCTGCCGGAGTGCAGTTGTAACACCTGATGTTAGATGAATCAACTCAGACCGGAGATCTCACTGGTATGTCATGGTATAAATGTTGAATGCAGTAGTTTTAAAATGTAATCCTTTTCTCATGCATGGGAATGCTTCAGATTTACACTTGGATGTGAATGATAGAGCTAAGGTAGCATGTGGCAAATTATGTGATGGTGGGGGGTGGGGGTGTTGGGAATCATGGAGTTCCAGGATATTGACCCTCTGACAGTGAAGGAATGCCGATACAGTTCTAAGTCAGGATGATGTATGGCTTGGCGGGGAACTTGCATGTGGTGGTGTTCACATATATGTGCTGCTAGGTGATAGGGATCAAGGGTTTAGAAGGTGCTTTTGAAGTAGCCTTAGTGAATTAATGCATTGCATCCTATAGATAGTGGCAGCAGTATGCACTATATTAGGTGATGGAGTGAGTGAATGTCGAAAGTGGAGGTGTTGCCAAATCACGTGGACTCCTTTCTTTGGGGTAGTCTCAAGTTTTTGAGTGTTGCTAGAGCTGCAGCCGCCCAGGCAAGTGGGGAATATTCAATCACACTCATGCCATGCATCTTTCTATAGGTGTGAGGCTGGAAAAGCATAGCGCACCAGAGGAGCAGGAAAGTCAACGTTTCAGGCCAAAACCCTTCTGCTCCTCTGCTGTCTGATGTGCTGTGCTTTTCCAGCCTCACTTATAGACTTTGGCTTCCAGCATGTGCAGTCTTTATTGTCTCCAAGACACTCATGTCTTGTGCCTTGTTAAAGGTTGACAGGCATTTAGTCTACCCTGAAGGTGTTGCATCAACATTGAGATTGTATTGTAAATCCATCGTGTTTGTCTCCAGGCAAAGTGGAGTCAGGTAACTACACACAGAGAATTTAAATTTGTGTTGAAGGTAGATGAAAGAAAGATAGACTTGTATTTACAAAGTGCCTTACATACCTTTAGAATGTTCCAAAACATCTTACAGCTACTTTCTGAGGAAGGGTCACCGGACCTGAAACATTAACTCTGATTTTTTTCTTCACAGATGCTGCCAGCCCTGCTGAGCTTTTCCACCAACTTTATTTTGGTTACAGCCACTTTAGTACTTTTTAAGTTGTGGTCCCTGTTGCAATGTACAAACTGTAGGCACTTCGTGCACAGTAAAGTGCTACAATTACCAGCTAATGCTTTCAATGATGTTGAGTGAGAGGTAAGTATTGGTCAGGGCAGTAGGGATACCTCCCCAGCTTTTGCTTGAAATAGAGCTAATAGATATTTAAGAGAACAGATATTACCTTGGTTTAATATTTCATCAGGAATACAGACCTCCAGCAATACTCCCTCAATACCATGTTGGAATGTCTAGGGTTTTGCGCACAAGATTCTGGAATGGAAGTTGAATCCACAATATTCTGACAGATTCTAGAATTACATTACAACTGTAGCATCAGTGCGCAATAACGATTACCATAAATGGGGCCAGCAAGCAAATTCACCCCTGAAACTTTCAAATTGCCTGGGAATATTCAATCACATGAGTGACCAATCTGGGAAAAATAAAACACCTTCACAAGTTGAATGGACTGGATTGGTAAGGAGCCGGTCCTTTGATCACAGGCTGGTGTTCTGTCACATTTGCTACTGATAGGTTCACCATAAGTCTATCATCAGCAGTCATGGGAACAAAAAAGGCCTGTGATTAGAACAGCAGTTCGGAAAGTAAGCGCTGGCAATGCAAGAGTTGCCTTCTGCAGGCATCTGGGAATTTCAGAGTTTTACCAGAATTTGGGGATTTTGCCATAGAAGCTGGGTGGCTATCTGTGGGGCCGAGGGCAGGCGGCTCCAAGGGGGATGGTGTGAGGGCTGGGATGAGAGGATGGGGCTGCAAGGGGAGTTTAGATGGGGGCAAGGATGGGAGTGTGAGAGGGTTTGGAGACAGCTGCAAGAGGATCTTGGAGAGCGAGAGAGCTTGGAAAGGAGAGCATAAATCTGTCAACAAAGAAATATTAGAAAACAGGAAGCCAGGAAAACGTCAATGAAACCCTTGTAAATGAATGTAGAATTTTGGGTTTCAGGCTAGATTGCTTCAGTTGCTACTATATAGGAACAATGTAGTGGATAATGTTATAATGAGCACCATCCGTCAACTGTTAAATTTAAATCTGAGATGTATTAGAAAGGGTAGTAGCTGCCAAGTTAAAATATTCCAGCTTTTTCTATTTGTGGTGGAAGCTGTGATCTCTCAAATTTAGAGTAATAGTTTTGCGTTCATAGAGGTGTGTCAGTTTTTTAAAACAAAATTTACATTGACTTGTGCTTGTTGATGATTTAAATTATATTGCCTAGGAGATTAATACTTGTGTTGTGGCTGTGTTTAATGGAAGGTTTATGATTATTGAAGGTATTGATGAATTATTCTGTTTCTGCTTCTGAGAGTTGGAATACACCATCTGTCAACACAAATATCAAGGGTATTGTTACTATGTGACTGTATCATCTTGTAAATAAGCTAGTGAGAATGTAAAAAGAACTCCTTTAAAACCAAATAAAAGAACCCCCCAAAATCAAGAAGTAGAACTCAAGGAAATCTCAAGAAGAGCTCTCAAAAAATTATTTTAACCCCAATATGAAACACAGCTGCATCATGTGCTATGTTTCAGTAAATATTAACATCTGCAAAAGTAATGAGCGTCAATTAATACCTAGAAAATAAAAATCAAAACTTTTTAAATGAAGCTGGAAGACCCACAGGTTGTTTGGGTGGTTCTGTTATTTAGCATAGATTTAACCGGATGGTAAAAGCACGAGAAGAAAATGGTCTTTACATATTATTGCTGTTTCTGTGACAGAAAAGCGCAGGAAATTCAACATATGTGATGGTTCGTATGTGATATTTCAGAATTTGAATTAAGAAAATGCTGCAGGCAGTTCTGAATGCAGAATTGTGTTCTTAACTCACTGTCATTGATAGACAAGATTTGGATAAACTCACCTGTTCCCCAGTAGGTTTGGTGATTGTTGACCTGTCACTTATAATTGTGTTGGGATCTTTTAGAGACAATGGTTTAAGTATGACAGAATATTGATGCATGTTTTTACACCCCCCTAAAAATAATTCCAGTTGTTGATTGGGGTGTGCTAAATGATTCCAGTGGCAATATTGAGTCAGAATCTTTTGTATGTTACTTCATCTTCAAATCATAGAATTCTTACTTTCAAGCATATAATTTCATTAGCTTGTTTCATCAATAAAGTTCTATTATAAATAGGTTCAAATATGTAAGTTATCACTTAATCTGTTCAAATTGAGAAACGTCGAGCATGAGGTTTGTGAATGACTATCATTGATTGGCTTCTGGGAACTAATAAATTTTTTTGGGATAATAAAGCAAATAATTGTGAAGGCTGAAGATCTGAAACAAAAACAGAAATTGTTGGTGAAATTCTGCAGATCTGGCAGTATCTGTGGAGAGAAAGCAGAGTTAAGATGCAAAGTATTTGTTAAAAACCATTTAACCTGGCTTCATGCATAAATTTGCTCCTTTGCCCTTGAGTGGAACTACCCTTTCCATAGCTACCTTCTTGCTCCTTATATATGTGTCTAAAATAACTAGGCATTTTCCTTAATTCTGTTTGTCAAAAACATTTAATAGCCCATTTTAGCCATCCTAATTTTATTTTTGAGTTTTTCCTGCAACACTTCAAGGACTCAGTCTGTCTTCAGTTTCTTAAATCTTACATATGCCTCCTTTTTCTTTGATTTGATCTTATAATTTCTTTTGTCATCCAAGGTTCCCAAATGTTGCCATCCTTCTCTTTCATTTTCAAAGGGACATGTTGGTCCTGAGCTCTAATCAACTGGCCTTTAAAAGATTCCCAAATGCCAGATGTGGATTTACCCTCAAACAGCTGACCCCAATCTAATACCCCGGTTCTGCCTATTATTGCAGTAGTTAGCCTTGCCCCAATTTAATACTTACACCCAAAAACTACTCTTATCCTTATCCATAAATAACTTAAAGCTTACAGAATTATGGTCACTGTTCCCGAAATGCTTCGCCACTGAAACATTGATCACCTGGCCAGGCTCATTCCATAATATCAGGTCTGGTATGGCCCATTCCCTAGTTGAATATTTTCATATTGTTTCAAAAAATTGTCCTGGATATACCTAACAAATTCTCCCCCATCTAAGCCTCTGGCATTAACTGAGTCCCAGTCAAATATAGGGGGAGTTAGAATCACCCACCACAATAACCCTGTTGTTTTCACATTTTTCCATAATTTGTCCACATATGTGTTCCTGTATCATCGGCTAGCTGTTTGGAGGCCTGTAGTACAATCCCATCAAAGTGATTGCACCCATCCTATTCCTGAGCTCTACCCACTTGGCATCCCTGGTTGAGCCCTCCAAGGTTCCTCCTTCAGTACAGCTACGATATTCTCCTGAATCAGTAACACAACTTGCCCACCTCTTTCATATCTCTTTCCTATCACACCTGAAACATCTAAATCCCAGAATGTTAAGCTGCTAGTGTTGTCCTTCCCTCAATGAAGTATCTGTAATAGCTACAATACCATAGTTATATGTATTAATCCAAGCTCTAAGTTCATCTGCCTTACCTGTCAGGCTCCTCGCACAGTGGCTCAGTGGTTAGCACTACTGCCTCACAGCACCAGGGACCTAGATTTAATTCCACCCTTAGGTGACTGTGCGAGTTTGCACATTCTCCCCATGTCTGTGTGGGTTTTCTCCGGGTGCTCTGGTTTCCTCCCAAAGACCAAAGATGTGCAGATTAGGTGGATTGGCTGTGGGAAATCCAGGGTCACTAGGGATAGGGTAGGGGATGAATCTGGGTGGGATGGTCTTCTGAGAGTTGGTGTGGACTTGTTGGGCCGAATGGCCTGTTTCCACATTGTACAGATTCTATGGAAAAACATTTCGAGTCCATTGACCCTTCAGAACTGATAGCCAAGAAAAAGTGGTATTTGTGCTGAGGACAAGCAGTCGGGAGTGGGGGAACAAGTGACAGCGCCCAGAAGGAAAGAAAAAAAATTAGGC